AAGGAGGGGAAGAGTGGGGACCCCTCGCCTTCTCCCTAACCCGCCGCCCGGAGCCCCGATGCCGAGCCTCAGGGAAGCGATGGGCCGCCTCCGTCTCCCCGCGGCTTCCGGACCCGTTGTTAGAAGACGGGCCGGTCCTGGCCCTCAGGACACCGGGAGTGTCGGGGAATTGCTTTTTAGGATAAACTGTCTGCAGGCGGGTCCTGGGCCTCCGGAGGAAGAGGCGGAAAAGCCCTGGCACCTGCTCTGCAGGCGGCGACCTCCCGGGCTTGGTGCCCGCCGGGAAGGTGGCCGCGGGGCTCCCCGGACCCGAGCTCAATCCCCAGCAGCCCATCGATGTTTCTCTCACATTTAGTTTCTCTCCCTTCCTCTCTAAAATCAAAATATTCTTTTCAAAAAGGAGTTGTGGAGAGCCGATGGGAGACCCCGGCAGGGGTGGGTGAGGGGACTCTGCTAGGGACTCAGTAACGCGGGTGATGCTCTTGCTTCTTCTCAGCCAGGACCCTTCCTGTGGCCGCCACGCCAGTGGGTTGGACCACACAAGGGCCCAGTGGGAGAGGGGCTGTGCCGGGGGCGCCCGGGCGTCCGGTCTCTGCCAAAGAATTCTCTTCAATAGTGAAGTCCTTCTGTGTCCATGGAGAGGATCTTTTCCTCAGGTTTTAGAACACTCTATGCCAGTGATGGCAAACCTTTTGAGCTCGGCGCGTCAGCATTTTGAAAAACCCTAACTTAACTCTGGTGCCGTGTCACATATTGAAATGTTTTGATCTTTGCAACCATAGTAAAACAAAGACATATTTTTGATATTTATTTTATATATTTAAATGCCATTTAACAAAGAAAAATCAACCCAAAAAATGAGTTCGCGTGTCACCTCTGACACGCGTGTCATAGGTTCGCCATCACTGCTCTATGCTAATTTCTTTATTGTCCTATTTCTCTGTAGTTTTCTCCTCAAACTGTTTCCCTCTCTGTTTGTCTAAAGGAAGTTCATTAAGAAAATCTTGCCCATTTTAGTTTCATTCCTTAGCCTTATTACTGTTTAAAAGAGTGGTGAGCCCTAGCAGTTTGGCTCATTGTTTAGAGCTTTGGTCCTTGAACTGAAGGGTGGCAGGCTTGATTCCGGTCAAGGGCGTGCACCTCGGTTGCAAGCTCGATCCCAGGCCCTGGTCCGGGGTGTGTGCGGGAGGCAACCAGTCGGTGTGTCTCTCTCACATCTGTGCTTCTCTCTCTCTCTCTCTCCTCCTCCCTTCCACTCTCTCTAAAAATCAATGGAAGAAATATCCTCCGGTGAGGATGAACAAAAAAATCCTATACAATAAAAGCCCAATATGCAAATCGACCCAACAGTGGAACGACATCGCTATGCCCCACACTGAGGGGGGCGGGTGTGTGTGCAGATGCTCAACGCAGATGCTGCCCCCTGGTGGTCAGTGCACTCTGGCGGGCTCTCCCGCCTCCCTGGCAGTGCTAAGGGGCAGCAAGCTCAGTGGTAAGGAGCAGCGAGCAGGCAGGCGGTTAGGAGCAGGGGTCCCGGACATCCCCCGAGGGGTCCTGTTCTGCGAGAGGGTGCAGGCCAGGCTGAGGGACTCTCTCCCGCCCCCCAGTGCACAAAGTTTCTACATGGGGCCTCTAGTAAGTAAATAAAAGTGGTTGGTGTTTGCTCAGCGTGCGGACAGCAGGTGCTGGGACTGCCTGGCCTGGCCGGCCTGGTGAGGGAGGCACTCCTCCATCCGCAGGAGCTCCAGCGGTAGCCGACCTAGGCCCAGGCAGCCACCTGTCCTTACCCTCACAGGTGCTAGCCCTTCCGTCTGGAGGCCAAGTCCACATCCGTTTCCTTGTCAAGGCCCCCAAATTGCTCCTTTTCCCTTGAGAAACTCTTACTGCTCCTCTTCCAAATAGGTCTCTGTCTGAGCAACTCTTTGCTGACAGGAGAGGTAGCCTTTGTTCAGGGATTTCCTTGTTTTCTCGCTGTTCTTGCGGGAGGTGAAGTGGCAGCTGCAGCGTTCTCTGTCTGGCCCAGTATCTAGGACAGGGGTCCTCAAACTACGGCCCGAGGGCCACATGCGGCCCGCCGAAAACATTCATCCGGCCGCCGGGTGTTTTTTCTGCCGCTGCCTGTCCTGCTTAGCAGCCGACTGGTCCCAGGCCCGCAGTGCGCATGTGTGGAATGTCTGAGGGACAGTGAACTGGCCCCCTGCTTAAAAAGTTTGAGGACAAAGCCCAGCACACAATAAACTAAGTAAATATTTGTTATTTGCAGGAGGGTTGTTAAGGGAGATGCAGGATATGGCCCAGATATTCATGCAGTCTTCCTCTATGTCTGTTGTAGAATGAAAATATCAGGGGAGAGTGGGAGGGACATGGAATTATGGGAGTAAATAGACCAGAGAAGAGTGAAGGTCATTTCTAATAAACATGTGCACAGGCGGGAGCCAGACTTGTGGCATTTAGGAACTCACACAGGGGACCCAACACCGTTCTATTCCATTGTTTAGAGCATGTGAGGAATCAGTAGAGTCCTTCCTAAAGCCCTTTAATAGAATTAGGCTTTTAAATAATTCTTAAAATGTTTAATAATAGAAAAAGGTAGCAAAAGATATCCATAAGGACAACTCCCCCCGCATTCGTAGAGTGCTGTCAATCTGATTGAAAGACAAGGTGACCTTAGCTGAGCTGGTTTTTAAAAAACCGCTTAAGCCCTTCTGGGTCCGGGAAGATGCTGCGTGGTCAGTTGTCCAGCATCAGACCCAGCGGCTGCCCCATTGCCCGTGTGGCCCTTCTTCCCCCTGAGGTGGTCAGGCTCTGGGGACCCGGGGAGTAGGCCGGCCCACTGTCTGGCGCAGGGCTGGGAAGGCTTTTCTGTTTTGTGTCTTGCCCTGTGTGTGATTGTGATGGGGAGGGGGCGGGAATAAAGGCCTTTATGAAACTTGAGTGTTCTTATGTTTCTGCTAGAGATTTCTGTGATGATGTAGTTTCTTTCAGTTCTCTATCATTTGAAAACGTCCATTAACCGGGTATTTATTTTCCAGTACGTCCTGTCGGTCTTGAAATTTACCTGCCCTACGTTGTTCCAAGGGTGAGTATTGCTGTGCTCTTTGCACACATTTGTAGGAGATGTTCTACCAGCATCACCAAGTCTTCTTTAAATATAGATTTAAAAATGTTTCTAATTAAACGTATTGGGCTGACCTTGGTTAATAAAATTACATAGGTTCCAAGCTCATGATTTTATAACACATCGTCTGTATATGCAGTGTGTTCACCACTCCAAGTCAGATCTCCTGTCCCCAAGTACTTGACCTCTTTTACCTTTTATCTTTAAAATATGGTTAATGACTGCATGGATTTTCCACCAAATAGATATACTGTAATTTATTTAACTATTCTATTAGTGGGCATTTAAGTTGTGTCCCAGTTGGGTGGTATAAATACAATAGCGTTATCAGACTTTTTTTATACTTAACTCTGCCAAATTTCCAACTATTTCGTTGGCATAGATTCATTCCTACATTAGAAATTTGGGTTAAAGAATATGAACTTCTTGCCATAACCGGTTCGGCTCAGTGGATGAAGCGCCGGCCTGCGAACTGAAGGGTCCCAGGTTCGATTCCGGTCAAGGGCATGTACCTTGGTTGCGGGCACATCCCCAGTGGGAGGTGTTCAGGAGGCAGCTGATCAATGTTTCTCTCTCATCGATGTTTCTAACTCTCTATCTCTCTCTCCCTTCCTCTCTGTAAAAAATCAATAAAATATATTAAAAAAAAAAAGAATATGAACTTCTTTAGTATTCTTCTTGAATGTTAACAGAATCTTTTCCAAAAAATGCTTTACCAATTTACATTGTCACCAGGCTGTACGTGAGAGTTCTGTGTTATTATACTAGAACCATGACTATTTTTTTCTTCTCTGCTGATATCATGAGCCAAAATTGGTATCACATTGTTTTATCTTATCATTTCTTAAATTACTCATCAAGTTGGACAGTTATATTTATTACTCACTTGCATCTTTTTTTTTCTAGTGAAGTATCTATATTCCCCGTTTACACTTTTATTTCTACAGGGTTTTTTTTTATATCTTTCTTAGCAGTTTAATGAATTCCTCATATTTTAAGGATGCCAACCACTTGTCCATTATCTTTATTGGATTTTTTTATTTTTGTTTTTTTTTGCAATTTTATTTTGTTCTTTGCCTTTTTATTTTGGTGAACAGAACAATGAACAACCAACCGAGCCACCTGGGTAGGCCTCCCATTTATTATGCTTTATTTATAACCCTTTCCAGCCTTTGGGTTGTTAATGTAATATATAAAGTTGTTTCTGTCTTTTTCAAATGTTTTTTAATTGATTTTAGAGAGAGAGAAAAACATTGATCAGTGCCCCGCCACCCCATGCGCCCCAACCAGGGATCGAGCCCCCAACCCAGGAATGTGCCCTGACCAGGAATTGAACTGGTGACCTTTTGGTGCATGGGATGATGCTCAACCACTGCACCACCCCTTCCAGGGCTGAAGTTATTTTCTTGGGATCTATTTTTAAATATTCTCTTGGTAATAAATTTCCTTTAGTTTTTTCAGCTACAGTTGACATAAAATATTTGTTCCGCTGTACAACATAGTGAGTAGACATTTGTATAACTTATGAAACGATCACCCTGATAAATCTAGGACAGGGTATATTATTGAGTACTTCTTTGTCAACTTTTATGGGAAGGGGCTATGCTAAATTGTTTTAATTATTAGCATTTAAATATGCGGTAGAGCTCTTCATCTCTCATTTTTCTTCTTTTTTGTATTACACAAATGCAAACAAAAAAGTAGGGCTCATGATCTTAATGTCAGACAAAGCTGAATTCAGGACAGAAAGCATGAAACAAGTGAGGATAGATACGTGTTATAATGCGGGAACGTGCAGTTCAAAATGAAAATGATGGTGATGAACCTCTGTAACCCAGTAAACAGAGCATCATCATTTATCAAACAAAAGTGCAGGAATAACAGGGATAAATAGAAACATACTCGTAATAGGAGACAAGTTTACTACTATATTTCCATGACAGTTCAATTGGACAAACAAGAACTTCATATGTATAATAATTATATTAATTAGCATACACACATATATGTGCTAAATAATACAATCTATCTATCTATCTATCTATCTATATATATAAAAGCCTAAGCGACCATTACGACCGGTCGACACTGAGCACCAGAGGGCAGATGCTCAATGCAGGAGCTGCCCCCTGGTGGTCAGTGCACTCCCACAGCCAACCTCCCGCAGTCCCTCCACCCCCCTACCCCCCTCGGCTGGCTGCCAGATCAGCACTGGACCAGACAGCCTCAATCGGCCCCATTGTTGCCAGGTCGAGGGACCCTACCATGCACGAATTCATGCATTGGGCCTCTAGTATGTATATATATTAAAAACAGTTGATTCTTCCCAGTGCTGCAGGTGGCAGTTCTCAGCCACAACATATGTGGGGTCATGAAGCTCACCTGAGACACACTTCCTCGGCCTGCAGAGTTTAGGGGGAGCACAGGTTATAAAATAAGCACCCCTCCCCTTCCCAATGCAGAAAAAAGTATAGCAAAATACCAAAGTATTGAGGGGAACTATAGGCATAAACTTATCCTGTTTCCTTCTAGTTGCTTTTTTATTTAGGCAGCACATTCATAAATTTCAAAGCCATATTTTTAGTTATGACTTGAGACACGACCTCAGAAATGATTACCACACAACTAGGTATCGCGACACCACGGCTAGGAACCCTGGCCTAGAGGATGAGGTCATTGGTGTGACACAGTCCTCCCAGGGCTTGCACCCGCCCCTCCCCAGGACCAGGTGCTGTCTCGGGCCAAGGGCAGCCACATTCCACCACGTTAACCGCCCACAGCCTTGGGAATGTGCCAGGCCATTTCACACTTCTGAGAGTTTGCCCGTGCTTCCTCTTGACCTTCTTCTAGACCTGCCCAGAACAACATAATGTGCTTCCATCTCCTTGTGTGGTGCTGAGCAGCTGCTTATTCTAAGATCCAGTTTTCCAGTCCCCCTTGCGAAGCCTTCATGACAGGCAGGCAGAGCAGACGATATGGGCCGTCCCCTCAAACAGCTTGATCCAGAGCGGTAGCTCTCAGCCAGATGGCTCCCACCCCCCCAGGGGGTACTGGCAGCATCTGGAGACAGTGTGGGTAGTCACAGCCAGGAGGAGGAGCGGGGACGGTTGCTCCAGGCACCTGGGCAGTGGAGGCCTGGGTGCTGCTGAGCTCCCTGCCAGGTGCAGGACAGCCCGTAACACAGACGTCCACTTGGGAAAGTGCCCTCTTTCCAAGGGAGAGGGGATCTTGGAGAAAAGTAAGACCAGGGGCCAGAATACACGTTAGGAGTTGTTAGAGTAACTGAGAGAGGACAGTGGCTTGGGAAGGGGCAGCTGGATGAAGAAGGTGGATAGGTTCTAACCATGTCCAGGAGGCCTTGGTGGCTACCTGCATGCTAGGGCTGAAGGAGAAGGAAGCAGGAATAACCACGAGGTTTCAGTCACTGCAGGTAAATCTAAGGGGCGGGCAAAAGAGAGAGGCAGGCCCACCAGGACAGGGTCTTTGTTTTCGTCACTGATGCCTGGAGTGTCTAGATCAGTGCCGGGCACACAGAATGCACCCAGTAAATATTTGTAGAATGAGTTACTTTGCCCTACTGTGCACCTCCTATTGTTTTGTCCATGGAGAATATTCCCTGGGCATTTGCGAAAAGAACATAATCTCTATTTGCAAGATAGAGTGATATTTATCTAGTAACTAGAGGCTCAGTGCACAAATTCATGCATGGTGGGGTCCCTCAGCCTGGCTGGTGATCGGGGTCGATCTGGGGCCAGCCAACTGGGGGTAGGGACCACAGGAGGTTGGCTGGCCACGGGAAGTTGGCTGTGGGAGCGCACTGACCACCAGGGGGCAGCTCCCGCATTGAGTGTCTGCCCCCTGGTGCTCAGTGTGTGTCATAGCAACCGGTGATAAGGGTCGCTTAGGCTTTTATATATATATAGGTTTTTATTGATTTTGGAGAGGAAGGGAGAGGGAGAGAGACATAACACATCACTGATGAGAGCGAGTCATTGATTGGCTGTCTCCCACAGACCCCCTACTGGGGATGAGCCTGAAACCCCAAGCATGTGCTCTGATGTGGAATTGAACCCATGACCTCCTGGTTCATAGGTTGACGCTCAACCACTGAGTCACACTGGCTGGGCTCAACCATTTTTAAAACAAGCGAGTAGAACATTTAAGGTTGCATTTTAGAACAAATCCTTCGGCTTCAAGGGAGAGACTGGATGGGGCGGGGCAGCCTGGATGGGGTCTGGTGCTGGTGTTCAGGTGGCAGCCCATGAGAGTCTGAGTAGGCAGAGGTGTAGGGATGGAAGGAAGGCTTCAGACGTGGGAACTGTTATGGGGATAAATCAGTAGGATTTTGCAAGTAAATGAGGGAGGTGAGGATGGAGGAAGGGCTAGGACAGCATCTAGCTTTCTGGTTCGCTGATTAGGGAGAGTGGGAAGGCGACCAGGATGGAAGGCGGAAGTTCCAGGGAACGTTTTTTGGATGTGTTGCATATGGGAGCTTGTGGGTTTCGGGTGAGCAGGGCGACTGGGAATCGTCAGTGCAGAGGCAATGGGAACGCAGGTGGCTGTGGGGAGTTGTTCAGGGCAGGTCTTGGAAAGGAGAGGCCCGATGTCAGCTCTTATGGATTCAAGGGAGTAAGTAGAAGTTGGGAAGGACAGTGAGCATTGGGGTGGTAATGGGAGAGAGAGGGAGGAAAAGGCCACGAAGGGTTGGATGTGTATATTTGTGTCGACAGATCTTCCTTCCGGGGCGATGGCTTTTGAGACCGTTAAGTTAAATTCAGATTGGAAAAAAAAATAAAAAATTTAAAAATTCAAATGGACCCTTATTCCTTTCAGGTGGCAGACGTTAGTTGGTGGACTTTTGCTGCATGTGTCATGGAAACTGGGCTGGGTGGAGATCAACAGCAGTTCAAGGTAGAGCCTCTTCTGTGCTTCGTGACTCAGACCTGCTTCCTCTTATGTGATTTCTCGCGGCTTTATGTTGGGAAACACAGATGTTTATTTGAGCTGTTTGGTCTCTTAGTTCCCTTCTGCCTTTAAGATGCAATGATTTTATAATCAAATAGGACACAAGTAGTGTTTTTCTGGTTAGTAATGCCACTGACATGGTATTAAAATTAAGTGAGATATGTAGTGTATGATACCATACTAGTTTGACTTTGTTTTAGATCAAAGACCACTATGAATGAGTTTTTAAATAAGCTTTTAAACATTGTTAGTAAATTTTGAAATTGTTTTTTTATAGAAGGATTAGAAAGAATATAAAGAACTTCCCCTCTCTTTACTCAGATTCCCTAATAGGTGGGGGAGAGGTCCCACCCCTTAGTTTTCCATTGAATGTCTTTGTGGAGCCATAACAGATATCTTTATCAAACTTCCAAATTTACCAGTCCTGTCCCTAAAGAATGAACAGTGAGACAATCAGTTAGGGTCCGGACTGTACTTTCTTTTAATGATGGGTTATTTCTCTTTTTATTTTATTTCAGACAGAGGAAAGGAGAGGGAGAGAGAGAGATAGAAACATCAATAATGAGAGAGAATCATGGATCGGCTGCCTCCTGCGCCCCCTACTGGGGACCGAGCCAGCAACCCGAGCATGTGCCCTGCCCGGGAATCGAACTGTGACCTCCTGGTTTACAGGTTGACACTCAACTACTGAGCCACACCGGCCGGGCAGGAACTGATTTCTTTGAGACCCTTGTTGGGCTTCAGGTTGACACTCAACTACTGAGCCACACTGGCCAGGCAGGAACTGATTTCTTTGAGACCCTTGTTGGGCTTTAGGGATTGTCAGAACTTCGCTGAAGGTGTCAGGGTTTCCGTAGCAGCACAAAATGGGGTGACATGTTGAGACTCTCAGGCCAGCGAAATGGGAACTGGGGAGAAGTGATGATTCTGGAGGAGAAGGACCAGTGATGAAAGTGCCCTGAAAAAGGAAACTTTACCACAAAATGGCAGCGATCCCGTCTGTCTAGCCAGGGATACCCCTCGTGTGTGAAGCCTTGGGCTCCCAGCTCGTAGGTTCCGGAGGTGGGGACCAGGCGGCCTTACTTCAAACCAGGAGCCAGCAAGCAGAGACAGACTAGGTATGTCGGCTTCGTGGGCCGGGCCGTCTGTCACAGCTGCTCCTCTGCCTCTCATGGAAGCCGCCACAGACGGACGAGCGGACAGGAGTGGTCGTGTGCTAACAAAGTGCCGTTTGCAGAGCGAGGCAGCAGGCGGGGATTTGGCCCAGGGCCGTAGTTTGCTGACTCCAACTTTAAGTTGAGCTCTGTGACAGGGAGTAGCATCACAGCGTTCTTGGGACCAAGTAGTATTGGGGTTGAACTTTGTCAGGGGCATGTGGCCTGTGAGTCAGAGGAAGAGGAAGAGGGAGGAGAAGAGAGAATAAGACTCCCTGGGGGCCGTATTCACCAGTAACGGACCCCCCAGAAATGGAATCTAGGAACCTCCTGCAGTATTGAGCCAACGTCTCTAGAAGTCCTGTGACCTGTGAAACACATGGTGATTGACAGCTGTGAGGCGTTAGTGTGGAGGCAATGCCGACAGGCGCCACGTGAGCCTGGTGTCTTGGTCACTCGTTATTTTCATGTGTGGAAACTTTCTCGGTCCACTGGGTGTCAGTATAACACAGGGAGTTTCCAAGAATTCAGCCCGAGGGGCCCTTGAGGCATTCACGAACAGACAGACCGAGTGTTCAGGGAGCAGATGCACCCTCAGTGATGTGCGCTGTATCTGAAAACAAGTGATTTAATTTAATCAGCCTTCATCTCAGTAACAACAGTTTCATGGTTCATGCCAGCATTTCACATGCTGCTTGTAAATGCTTTCTTCACCGGGTGCTCAGGGACAGGGGTGTGCGCACACAAAAACAGACCCACAACTCCAGCAAGATGCAGCATTTGTGCTTATAAATCCTGTGAGAATAACTGGGTAGCCCCGCAGTTTTCAAACCAGACCCTGTGGCAAATAGTTCTTCAACAGGGACTGTACTCTGCAATTGTACAGTCTAATCTTTACCCCCAGGAGTCGCTGTGAGCTCCTTTCCTTTACACACACATGCACACATACATATACATATACTTACACACACACACACACACACGCACGCACACACACACGTGCACGCACACGCACACACACACCTACTCACTGGCTCGGCCGCTCCTGGAGGCCCATGGACCACAGAGAGCCAGGACCACCCCAGGATTTAATGCCCTCTGGCCTCCTTCGTTGGCATGGAGACAATGTAAGAACACCCAGCACTGAGGTCCAGATGGTGCCGCCTTGTGAATGAAAGTTGGAGAAAGAGAGAGTGTGCTAATAAACAGTCTGTGCTCCTTTGTTCCCGATGTGCAGGCCACTGGCTCTCTTAGAATCCTGCACGTCAGAGCTGTAAAGGAGGGTGTATTAGTCAGTGCAGGCTGCCATAACAAAAACACCACTGAGCCACACCAGCCAGGGGAGACGACACATTTTAATGCCATGCTCCCTGGGAAGTTGTACAAAGGCGGGTCTGACCACGGAGGGGTGCTGCTCATGCTGATGAAGTTGACGAAGATCATGTTTGAGCGGGAGCCACCCCAGGAGAGCAGGCCGTTGGTTAGTTGGGATGATCATGTCACATCCTCCTGAGATGGCTTCATTTACTGATGCCTGTTATTGGAATAACTCAGAACTTGAGTTTAAGGACTGAATGCATTTGTAACTGATGGGGAAGCAAGTTGCCACCTTGGTGAGATGCACTCCCTATAAACCGGATTTTGCTTTTTCTGGGAAGAGCGGGTTCTAAACTACCTTGAAAAAGCAGTTCTTGGTGTGGCCATGACTGAATCAGTCCTTGGAGACTCCAGAGCCGGCACTCGGGCTCTCGGTCGGAGAAGCTGGCACGTGGCCTCCCAGCTCAGGCTCTAGCTCGGCTGCTTTCCCAGTTCTGTCCTTGGACGCTGTGGGTCCTTTGGTTGTGGTTCCACGGAGCGGTTTGGTGTATTGCCTTTAAATAGCCTTTAAAATTTTTAATAATGTGGCATAAGTTCAAAACTTCTGGCTGCTTAACATCCAAAGAATAATGTTCACTGCTTCCTTAAAAATTAGATTTGTTCCCCCTCCCAGCCTGCAGGAGGCTTTTTCCACGTCCAGCTCACCTGTGTCCTGCGGTGGGACCACTGCCACTAGGTAGGTGGCCGAGTGGCCTCCATCACCCTCAGAGATACACTTGTCACACTGCTCGGCTCCCCCAGAGATGTGTAATAGCTGCTGTCACTGCATCTGGGGCACCTGAAGGTAATTCCTTCCAACGAAGGCTTTGGACATAAAGTGACGGAAGTATTATGGCTTCTTTTCTTCTTTCTAGATCTGATGTTTTGGCGTGGCTTCCTGCTTCGGTGCTGTTTGTGGGCATAATCTATGCCGGTTCCAGAGCATTATCCAGACTGGTGAGTGTTGGAGGTTTTGGGGGACAGCCCTTCTCTTGTTTCTTCTGCCCCCTGCCTGCTAGCTTATGGCATCCGGTTAATAGGACAAAGCTTTGATAATGGTATAGCTGAGTGGAGAGCAAGCCCTGGACCTGAGGCACATGGGCCATGACCCACTCTCTCTCCCTGGATTGAAGACAAACAGGTAACAGGGAAGGGCCGGTTTCTTTTAGACGAAGAGATGCACAGATGGAGGTGTAGGAAAAAGGGTGATGGTGACTTTGTGGAGCTGTCAATAGGGCCGTCCTCGGGCCAGGAGAGGGTTTAGCCTGCCCCTTGCTTCCGGGCAACGGTAACCCTGCCCCTTGGTAATGTGGCCGGGCCATGCTGGGTTCAGGCGTGGAAGTACGTGCCTGGTGCAGGGTTGATGCCCAGTAGCGTGGGATGCCAGTGAAAAGAGCCTCTCTTCTATCCTCCTACCCTGTCCCCCTGGATTGAGCTCAAAGGTGGGAACTGTGAAGAACAAACTTCTAGTTACGTTATATGGGACGCCAAAAATTTAGTTATTTTGCCATCAAAAGATAACCTTTCATACCACCACTGACCAGAGACTGAGAATGTGGCTTAAAAAAAATCTAACGATAGTAATGCCTCTTCCCATTTTTAAAAAAATAAGTTTTTATTGATTTCAGAGAGGAAGGGAGAGGGAGAGAGAGAAACATCGATGATACAGGAGAATCATTGATAGGCTGCCTCCTGCCCGCCCCCTACTGAGGATCGAGCCTTGACCTCCTGGTTCAAAGGTCAATGCTCAACCACTGAGCCACGATGGCTAGACTAACCTCTTTCCATTTTTTACCCTGGGACTAACTGTTTTTATCTGGCAGAAAATGATTGCATTCCTGCTTTTGGAAAATGCAATATTTACAGAACAGTTGAGGCCTTTTATGTAAAGTTTGTTGTTATGTGAAAGCAGTAATAAAACAAACGAGATCTGCCTAACTGGATAACAATATTATTGCTAGGACAGCTCCCAAGTTGCAAAATAGTGGTTGAGAATTCAAAGCAGTAATTTATAAATTAAATCAACATTTTCCTTTCACGATTTATAAGCCTGAGTAGATGGGCTGCTGTGTGCCGTGGGGGGAAACGTCCTGGGTGGGCTGAGAAATGACCCCGTGCCTGTCGGTGCTCAGCCAGACCCGAGCTGCGCTGGCCTGGCCGTGGCAGCCTCTGCTCGATGCTGTGCCCTCCTGCGAGTCTGCTGCCTTACTTGCAGCCGTGACCTGGGGGACTTCCTCTCCTCTGCAGAGTAGAGCACTGGGTAAAAAAACTGTGTTGTCCAAAGGTTTTTAAAGTTTTTGTAGGATCTGGGTAGTTATTGATGCCAGAATTTTGAAGTTTGAATAACAAAAGTGCATACTAATAATAACTTTTTTTTGGTGTACAGTGCTTTTTCATATGTTTCTAGGGTGATTTCCCCCCTGTATATTTGTATGTGTTTCTCATAGTCACCTGATAGGTGATGGGTGAGGCAGATGGTAATCGCCTGACAGAAGACGGAACTCAAGTGTTTCAAGTCTTGGTCATCTGCCTCTGGTTCTAGATAGTGGTCTAGACAGTGGTCTGGACAGTGGTCTAGATCAGCAGTCGCCAACTGGTGGTCCGCAGACCACTGGTGGTCCGTGAGGTCTGAAAGGTTGGCAACTGCGGGTCTAGATAGTGGTCTAGACAGTGGTCTGGACAGTGGTCTAGACAGTGGTTTAGAGAGTGGTCTGGACAGTGGCAGCTCTTCTGGCCTTTTCCCTTTCCAGATTTGCTCTTTAGGACCAATGCATATCCACTGAGAGCAGGCCAGTCCATCTTGCAGGTGTCCACTTATTCACGGGATGTGTCCTCTGTACCTGGCACAGTGCTTGACACACAGCAGATGCTTAGTAACTGTGTGTTGATGGAATAGCCGTGGAAGGGAACCTCTACATCCACCTCACCTAGCACAGTACTCCAACCAAGAGCACCAGTCCCTGCAGACGGGGTGTTGCTGGAGATGATTATATATACTAGTATATGTGAATGCCAAAAGTTCCCACAGATCTTTATTTTTAAGCAGAAATCAAGAATTATGTAATCATGAGATCACAGAAAATATTTTCATGCTTCTTATTCTGTTTCCTTTCAGGCCATTCCTGTGTTTCTCACTTTGCACAATGCAGCTGAAGTTATCGTCTGTGGGCACTGGATGTGTTTTCGGAAAGAGGTAAATGATAATGCATGATGCCAGTTTCACGTCCCTTGCTTTAAATTTCAAAGCATGCCTTTTTTTAATGGCTGAAAGTAGTGTCTACCTTCTCCGGATATCTGTTGCCAGTCAGGACTGCCGGACAGGGGTTATTACTTTCGAGGACCATGGTTTTGACATCTGTCATCCACCAAGCATACGTGGGAGTGCGTGTTGACCCCGTGGGCCTCCAGGCCAGGCCTGAGCCAGGGCCTGGGATGCAAAGAGGGATCCCCTGTGGGCCTGGTGGTTCCCCTCCCAGCGCCTCCCAGCACCACGTGGACGCCCATGTCCAAGCTTTCTGTAGGGCACTGGGGCATTGCCCACTTCCCACGCCAGGGACAGATGTTCCTTTTCCTTCCCAGCTCCAGCTCAGCCTCAAACCAGCTAGGACATGCTTCTTCACCTCTGTGCCTCCATCTGTGAGGGGGCAGTGACCCCACCCAGCTCGTAGCACTGTCAGGAGGGCGCAGCGCGGCACACATCAGTGCTTCCCACGGTGTCTGGTGCGTAGTAGGTGCTCTGCCTGTTAGCTGTATTTATTGACATTATTAGTGGTGGTTTTAACTTGGTCCCTCTTTCAGGAGTTACCTTTTTCCTAACATCTTCCCTTTTGAAATGATTCCATATCAAAATTTTGGAACTTTTAAGAGAGGCTGGTGAGCCATTCACCAGGCAGCACACTTCTTACAGGTGGGCAGGAGGGAGGAGTCCCTCCTGTGGCCGAGGCTACTGAGCACCCACGCGCCCTGTCATTCCTGCCTGCAGCTCCTGGGTTACCTGCCCTCCTCTCCATGCTAGTTACCCTCCCTCTCTGCTGGCTGTTTCCCTCGGCCCACCACACGCTCAATGCTCTCAGTCAGGGTGGAGCAGGTCCTGGGAGACCCACTCACAAAACTGTGCTTACTTTTAAATTTATCTTTATTGTTGAAAGTATTACAGATGTCCCTTTTCCCCTCCATTCACTCTCTCTACCCCATACTCGTCCCCCTCCCCCACCCTGGTCCTTCACTGCAGTTATGTGAAAGCAGTAATAAAACAAACGAGATCTGCAGTGTCTGTGTCCACGGTTAAGCATATCTATATATATAAAAGGCTAAGCAACTGTTTGACTGTCCGACCAGTTGCTATGATGTGCACTGACCACCAGGGAGCAGATGCTCAATGCAGGAGCTGCTGAGTTGCAGTGACTTGGCAGTGGCGGTTCTTGGGTGACGCACCCCGGCACCAGAGAGTAGGGAGCCCGATTCTGGGTGCGTCACCCAAGAACCACCCTCTTGCAATCCGGGACCCCTCAGGGGATGTCGGAGAGCTAGAGATCCCCGCAGGCCAGCCGAGGGACCCCTCCCGCCAGAGGAACCCCGCTCACTCTGCAGACGCCCTTCGAGCTGTGGTGCTACCCTAGGTGTGGCCGGTCAGGGAGGGACCACGGGAGGTTGGCTCCAGGGCGTGTCCAGCCTGTCTCCCAGTCCCGCCCTGCCGGCCACCTTCTAATTAATTTCCTTTCAATGTGCACGAATCCATGCACCCGGGCACTAGTCCTATAAAGGGTGTTCCAAAATTCACGTAAGATTTGAATTTTGCGTGAGCATTAACAACAACAACAAAAAATAATAAAAGCCTAATTTTACTTGGTTTATTGAATCAGATTCTAATATCTGTTGCCCTTTGATTTCAATCCCTTCAATTTGATAAGCATTACCAAGTACTAATTATGGCCCAGGAGCAGGGACAATGAAGACCAATGAAGACCACGGCTTTGCGTATGTGCCAGCAAAGCCGTGGAGGCCATTGACCCGATGTGCTATTCCATGCATAACCCTATACGGTATACTTTATGAATCAATAAAAAAAATTACAATTTTTAATTATAAACCTGTGTTTTCTATCAAAATTACTTCTTGCGTGAATTTTGGGACACCCTTTATAATAAAAGCCCAGAGATTGAACAGTGGAATGACCAGAACGACCACTTGACCAGTCTCTATGACGCACACTGACCACCAGGGGGCAGATGCTAAACACAGGAGCTGCCCCCTGGTGGTCAGTGGGCTCCCATAGTGGGAGCACCACTCGCCCAGCTGACCAGGATGAGCGGCTGCTCCCACAGAGGGCCGATCCCCGCAGGCCATGTCCCCCACCAGTGCACGAATCCATGCACTGGGGCACTAGTATACGTATAAGTTCTTCGGTTAATCTCTCCCCACCCCCCCTCCCCTGCCGGCCCTCTGAGATTCTGCACTCTGTTCCATGCTTCTATGTCTCTGGATCTGTTTTGTTCGTCAGTTTATTTCGTTCATTAGATTCCACATAGGAGTGAGGTCATGGCTACTTGTCCTTCTCTGAATGGCTTATTTCGCTTAGCACAATACTCTCCAGGTCCCTCCTTGCTGTCTCAAAGGGTAAGAGAGCCTTCTTTTTTTACAGCTGCGTAGTATTCCATGGTGTAGATACACCACAGCTTTTTTATCAACTGTGTTTATAAAACCAAAACTGAACAGGAAAGCCAGCACGCTGCTGTGCCCATGCACACCCCCCCCCCTTCCACTCTTCTCGTCCTGGCCCTTGCCCACCACTGAGTCTATGCTGTCCACATCCTCCCGTCTCTCTCATCTCCCACCATTTCCTGCTTTCGCCCCCACCATTACCTGAAATTGCTCTGGCAGAAGCCCCTGATGGCTTCCTGTTTGCGACTCTGTTGGTCTTTCGCACCTTTCACCACCCCACACCCTTCTCTCGACTCTCTCGGCTCACATGATCTGCACTCCCCTCCCTGCTGGCCTCTTCCCGAGACACTGGCTCTTTCTTCATAGCCTCCCGTCCAGGGCCTTCCCGGGCTCTGTCTCGGGAGCCTAGGAGACCAGACACTTTCTGGACTCCACCCTGTGGCACCGGCTGCTTCAGTTCCCGGTGACTCCCACGTCCCCGTCTCCAGCCCAGTGCTGCCTCTTCAGCTCAGCCCTGGGGCCTGCTCGGTGTTTCCTGGGCAGCTGAGCTGCAAAGGGGTCCAAATGGTACTGGCGTGTTTCTCAGACTCGCTTCTCACTGGGCTCTCCCCACCCTGATCACTGTCTCTCCAGCCGGAACCAGCACGTGAGGGCTGTGGCCTGAAAGGGCTAAGGGGTGGTGGTGCGGGGGGTGGTGGTGCAGGGGGGACAGGCCTGGCCGGTGGGCTGTGGCCGAGCAGGGTCATAAAGGGCCGGGCTGTGGCGCTAGGTTGTGTGTCCCAAGCCCTTCGACTTTGGGCAGCTGACCTAATTTCTTGGGGCCTCTGTGTCCTCACGTGTAGCCCATAACCCAGGACCCTAATGAACTCGGACACAGTCAGGACTGGTAGAGCGTGAGGCTAGCCACGGCCAGAGCGAGGAGCCCTGGAGGCAGTCCTCTAACCCAGCCACGCGAGATTTGTGTGTGACGTTGGCAGTGACTTGGAGGTGTGGCCTTACCCCTGGATGACACCCCCCACCCCGTGTTCCTGGAGCCCCGGGGGATGAAGCTCTGTAGTGACTTTCTGCTCATTTTTATGCTCCGTGTCTCAGGTCTGAGCTCCTTTAGTCTGAGGGGTTCAAAATAAAAAAGGTTGCCCGGCTGGCGTGGCTCAGTGGTTGAGCATCAACCAATGAACCAGGAGGTCGAGGTTGGATTCCCCGTCAGGGCACATGCCCGGGTTGCGGGCTCGATCCCTAGTAGGGGGTGTGTAGGAGGCCAGCGATCAATGATTTTCATTCATCATTTATGTTTCTATCTCCCTCTCCCTTCTGAAATCAATAAAAACATTTTTAAAAAATAATAAAATAGCCCTAACCGGTTTGGCTCAGTGGATAGAGCGTCAACCTGCAGACTGAAAGGTCCCAGGTTCGATTCCGGTCAAGGGCATGTACCTTGGTTGTGGGCACATCCCCAGTTGGGGGTGTGCAGGAGGCAGCTGATGGATGTTTCTCTCTCATCGATGTTTCTAACTCTCTATCCCTCTTCCTTCCTCTCTGTAAAAAATCAATAAAATATATTTTTTTTAAATAATAAAATAAAAAAGTATTCTCTCCTCTGTGGAATGGTGCGCTTGCTCAGGCACGGACTGGTTTGCTGCCCTGTAACAAGCTCCCAACAGCTGGGTGAGCATGTTACTCATAGGAACGTCGGGGCCTCCTCCCTGTCTCTATCCCTCTGTCCCTACACGTCCATCAGTCCTTGAGATGTTGGTTATATTTAGCTCAGAATCTTTTAGGGACGCATTTTCCCCATCATGGGGACGATTATCCAGTTGTTCGGAGCAGGTCACCTGTGCCTGGGTCATCCTTTCTGTACTGAAGGGCTAGGTGTCGCCACCAGGGGGCAGTGGAGGCACGGTTAGCCTGTGCCCTGTCCCCTGTGCCCTGCTGAGGCAGGACCCACAGAGATGAGCGAGGGAAGTCTGTGCATTGAAACAGTGGGGGCTGGACTGTTTAGTGATGGGGAGACTTAGGCGTCCTCTCGTCGGTGCTCTCTTTTAATCAGTGTGGTCGTCCTTCACCCTTAATCTGGAGTCAGAAAATCATAGTGAGGCCCGGCCAGCATGGCTCAGTGGTTGAGCATCGACCTATGAAACAGGAGGTCAGGGCACGTGCCCGGGTTGCAGGCTCAACCCCCAGTGTGGGGTGTGCAGGAGGCAGCTGATCAATGGTTCTCCCTCATCATTGATGTTTCTATCTCTCTTCCCTTCTCTCTTCCTCTCTGAAATCAATAAAAATAAAATTTTAAAAAAGTATAGTTTGTCCTCAGCCAGCAAAATAACCCTCTGAAATGCTCAGGATTGACCTGTTCTCCTACTTGACCATTTCCCCTGCAAGTATAGAGCAATCTGTGCTCCTCCCTGCTAGACTTTCTCCCCGAGTGCAAAGACTCATCCCCCTAAGCCCACCACAAACAGGAGGTGACCAAGGGAGCGTCCGCATTAGAATTTCTTCATTTCCCCGAGCTTTGAGGGCCAAGTTGAGATTCCTCCTCTTATTTTTCCTTCTCGGTAAGGGTGGAGTCCAATGCCCCTTCTTTTTTTCTGTTTCTTAATTTACACATCATGCCAGAGAATTTATAGCACCGCTGAGAGTCAGAGCTGGATTAATGGAAGGAAAATTAAAGAGAAGGCTGGACCGGGAGTCGGACACATGTGTCAATCCTTTATCACAGTTACATCGGCCTCTCCCTCCCTCCCGTGGTGCGTGGGGCAGGGGAGGCTTGTCCCGCGTCTTGCTGCTCTCTCACAGGGGACGTATTTGGACAGGGCTGGGGGTGGAGGGAGGACCGGGTGGCGGGGATGGGAGACTGCACCCACAGGGCGCTCTGCCGAGGCGACAGCCTGAGCGCTGAGTCATCCTTCCCCTGTCCCAGCAGCGAGGCCTCAGCAACACTCAGTGCAGCTGCTGCTCGGCCCCCAATGAACTTGGTCTTAACGTTTTCTTTTAAGGAAGAGGGTTTTTAAAGACTAATTATAAATCTCTATTTTCATGCAGAAAACGCCTCCTGCCAAGATCTGTAGGTAAGTTTAAAACACACACACACACATAAGCCCACAAACCTCTAAAATACAAGATTTAACCTGATTTTTAACTTCGATGATAAAACTGTTTGTTGAAGATTCATACTTGAGAGTTGACAGAGGAATTTGTTATAAATACTCATATATCCCTGTTTTGAGTCTTATTCTAAAATTTACTTCCTCTTTTTCTGGAATATGTTATTCCTAAGGCAAAAACAACCACTGCTCGATTTCAGTTGTCGATGCCCAAAACCTCACAGAGTTGTGCAATCCCAATGGAGAGTGAAAATGGAAAACATGGAATGACTTAAAAATTTAAAAATAGTGTTCACAGTTTATTGGGTTGAAAGCATTCCCAGTGGAGAGAGCACTGGCTTGTGAGTCAGGGATCTGCATTGTGATCCTGGGAGACGGCCAGGTGACAGCGGGCAGGTGTCATCGCCACCCCCTCCTCCGTGCCTCAGTGTCCCCGGCAGGAGCTCAGGCAGGCGTGCGCTGGTTCTGACCCGGACGCCTGGTGCGCTTCCTGTCCGCCTGCAGGAGCTCCGTGCCGGGGCAAGAAACCCAGCCAGAGGCTTGTTGTTCCTGCATTTCTGGGCTTCCATTCAGTCTCTATTTTCACTTTATTACAGGCTGCTACTTGGAAAAAAAAAAAAAGAAACATCAGGACTCATCCCCTTGTTTAAGAGATTAGCAGGTGCTGCCCTAGCGGGCGTGGTTCAGTGGATAGAGCGTCGGCCTGCAGACTGAAGGGTCCTGGGTTCGATTCTGGTCAAGGGCACATGCCAGGGTTGCAGGCTCGGTCCCCAGTGGGTGACATGCAGGAGGCAGCCGATCAATGATTCTCTCTCATCATTGATGTTTCTATCTCTCTCTCCCTCTCCCTTCCTCTCTGAAATCATTAAAAAATACTTAAAAAAAAAAAAAGAGATTAGCAGGTGCTAAATAGGCATGAAAGCCCACCAATACTGAGGCAGGTATGCATTGCCCAGGGCCGTGGTTGGTGGGAAACCAGGGCTGTCTCACCTCCCCTCAGCCTGGGGGGTCGTCAGCTTGAGGGGACCCTCATGCTCATGGCCTGAGGATGAGGAAGGGTCCTGCGTTCTGTAGAGCCTTCATCCGAAGGTAGACCCCAAACTCATTAGGAGCCTCTCTCCTCCCACCTGAACACCTTCCCTTCCTGGGCAGCCCAGCAATCTCCGACAGCTTCACTCTACCCAACCTGTTGCCTCTGAGCCCGGAGCAGTCTGTGCCTTGGAGTCCTCCGTGTGTGTGTGTGTGTGTGTGTGTGTGTGTGTGTGTGAGCTGGGGGGCTGGAGAGGGGAGCCTTTCTGAGCCTCAGGATGTCCCATGTTGTCCTGACCTTCCAAGGTCGTGTTGCCCCCACTCTGAGGGTCCCTCCATACCAGCCCCTGGGCCTTAGGCCCAGGGCCGGGGATCGATGCTGCAACTGAGGTATGTGCCCTTGACCGGAATCGAACCTTTCAGTCCTGTGGCCAATGCTCTGACCACTGAGAAAACTAGGGCAATAGTTTTCAACCTGTACCTCCACCCAGGGCCTCCACTCCAGCAGATCTCAGGCACCGTAGCATCTCATCTGTAAATATCTGAGTATGGATAAGAGACTTTCCTCATAAAACCTTTTATTTGGGAAAGAGACTTAAACCTACAGAAAAGTTGCAAGACCTTTACAAGGAACTTGCTCGCATATACCTTTTGCTTAGATTCACCCATTGGGAAAATACATATATACATACGTATCACATAAATAAGAATGTGCATATACAATTATTCTTTAATTTTTTTCTGAGCCCTTTTAGAATAAGTTGCAGAGACCTCATCCTTACCCCTGAATACTTTAACGTGTATCTCCTAAAAATAACACTCCTGTGTAAACTGCAATTAAACTTAGAAAATACGTATCTTGCACAATCCTGTTCTCTAATGTGGAGTCCATGTCCACACTTGGCCGTCTATCCCAATGTTGTCTTTCATGGCAATCTCTCCCCGAGATGCGTCTGCATGCTCTTCAGTATGGACGGTTCCTCTGCCTCCCGTGGTCTTTCACTGCCTTCGCAGTGTGTGTGTGTGTCTGTGTGTTAAGTTTTTTTCTATTACATTTTTTTGGGTGACATTGGTCAACATGAACATATGGGTTTCAGCGTGGGTTTCTATTGACAAGATCTCTATATGCACCTTGTGCCCAGCACCCCAAGTCAGATCTCCTGTCCCCACATGTTATTAGCCTCGAATTTTTGAAGAGGGGAAGCCCAGTTTTGTGGATTGTCCCTAAATTTGAGTTTGTCTCAAGTGTTTGCTTACGATTCAGCTTTGATTTTGCAAATGTCCTGCCAACGCCCGTCTTTGGGGAGACGGCTGGTGGTCGGTGGGGCACACAATTGAAAACTGCAGGAGTCATGGGCTCTCTGAGAGTGGACGGGCCGGGCTCGGTCTCGCGGGACCGTGGCTTCCACCGAGCTCCGTCCGTGTATCTCAGCCCCATGCTCTCGAGGATTCGCGGATGCTGAACCCTGATGCTGCTTGTCTTCCTTCTCTCCACAGCGCCCTCCTGCTCCTGGCCGCTGCGGGGAGCCTCCCCTTCAATGACGCCCAGGTAAGCTCAGTCAACGTGTTTTCCCTTCCCAGTTCTTTTACCATGAAGCCTGCTCATGGGAGCAGAATTCCCCAGTCCTCCCTTTTGGGATCAGAATGAGCCTGGCCTGGGCGCAGGCATTGAGTGCTTTCAGGCCGGGTACCTGCTGGCCAGGCCAACGCGTTCCCTCGGGGCCCCACCTTCTCCCCGAGGCTGCGCAGTGGGGCCGCCGACCTCTGGCCTCTGGGTGCTGCGCTGGATGCTGTGTGGGCGCCGTCTGCCTCCGTAGGTTCTCGGAGAGCCTGCAGCCAGCGCCCGAGTTGCCTGAGCCTCGCACATTGGGGCGCAGCGGACTTCTCTCCCCAGGCCTCTTCGCCTGCCCCCCTGTTTTTCTGTCTGAGGCTGAGACCCAGCCGCACTCCAGGAGTCCTCTGGCTGCTGGGACTTTCTTTGCTCCCAGCACTTACCAAGGCTCCAGGAAGTGTCAGGCCCCGAGCCAGACTCTGGGCACAAAGACGTGTCCTCGTTCAGACAGAAGGCGGGGTCTCGTCAGAGCAAAGGAGAGGAGGGCAGATGATTGAGAGGATTGACAGAGCGGCCAGGGCTCTGCCCGGGCGGGGTGGGGCGTGTGAGCACCTGAGAGACCTGGGGACACGGAACGGGAAGCTAACGGTTCCGGGGCCTGCTGTGTGCCGGGCTCGGGGCCGATGCTCCCTGTGCCCTACTTAACCCCTCAAGCCCACAGGGATCGCTGTGTCTCCATGTCATAGCCAAAGACGAAGGCGGCCCATGCGGTCACCAGCGGACGAATGAGTGGGATTTTAGAGTTTAACCCAGATCTTTCCGATGCTGGAGCCAGGCCCTGCTTTCTGGACCTAATCATGAAGAGGGAGGAGGATTAGCCAGGAGCAAGCAGGGGCGGGCCCTGCCCTGGGGTGCCCTAAGCATGCTGGGACTCAACTCCATTGAGCACCTACTACGCACGTGGGTGCTTCTAGGCTGGTCACTGGCTCCTAGAATTTACGTTCAAGTGCAGGTGGCGACAGAGACAGGAATTAGTAAAACTGTGAGATGAGAAGCTCTGTGGAGACAGGAGGGGAGGGGAGGAGGGCTGAGCGGGGGGAGCATTGGGGCCGGGGAGAGCGAGTTCCCTTTCTCTGTAGAGGGGCCATGGATACGCTGGAGGGGGCCAGGGCTTGTCACGATGCCGGGTGCCCTGAGTTTGGAGTTCACCCTGAAGTGTCCCTGGAGACTGCCGAGGGATTTGAGGCCATAGGTGGTGACATCATCAGGTGGCCTTCTAGATGCCGGGTGTGGGGGTGGTGGTGGTAGAGGGGGGAGTGGGAGAGGCCTGGGGGCAGGGAGCATGTTGGGAGGAGTGGCAGGCACCTGGTGAGACCCTGACTCCAGGCCCCACAGTCCCGTCTGGGCCCCTGGCTGGTGCCCGTGCCTGGCACTGTGCGCTGACATTTAGGGTATCTGATTGCCAGACTGGCCTGTTCGTGGGAACCTGTAGCCATATTTCTTCAAATCCTGTCTTACAGTTTGATCCAGATGGGTACTTCTGGGCTGTAATTCACTTACTCAGTGTAGGTAAGTCTTAAAAGAACACTTACTATGATAATTAAGGCTTATTATTTAGATCTTACTGTGAATCTACTTTTTAATGACTTTGGACAACAGGAAGATTAAATACAGTGTCGAGGTTAAAATAAATGGACATTCTCTGGTTTGATTGTCCTGTTTGGGAGGTTTTCTCAAACTGTATTTCCAATACAGTCTCTCTTTGGGGACAAACACAAACTCACCACGGCTCGGCTCTGCTGGCTCGGGCCCTCCATGGGGGGCTGGTCGGTCTTCCCTAAACACGGTGGGAAGAGACCCAGAAGTTTGTGCCAAAGACACCCCATCAATATACAAAAAGTAACTGGGTGAAATAGAAGGGCCATTCAAGTCACATGTTCAGTGCTCTTGTCTGTGGTCCTGGGGCACCGTGCCCCGAGGTACCCACTGTCAGACATCCCAGTGTTTCTCCTGCCCATCACTCGACAGCTTCCTGTTAACCACCCGTGACCACCAGCCTCCCCCAGCACCTCTGGGCCGAAGGCATCACCACCGGATTATCCACTTCCCCCTCAAACCCTCCCGGAGTGCGGCCGCCCTGTGGGCGTGGGGGACCCTCCAGGGGAGAGGGCCTCCGTCTCCCTATGGATTAGCTGCTTCCCTGGCCGTGCAGGCAGCCCCTTCCCCAGAATGTCCTGTGCCAGTAACACGTTGCTTCCTTTTCAGGGGCCTATAAGATTCTCCAGACGTCCCTGAAACCCAGTGCGTTGAGGTAAGCGTTCAGTGGTGCGTTGTGGTTTGGTTAAGGAGCAGGGTGAGACCCAGGCGCCAGGGCTGCTCCTGGTCCGCAGACTCTGCCCGTCGGGTGCAGTGGGCAGCAGGCTCGGCAAGAGCCCTCCTTTTGTCTCTGAGCCGCTCCAGACAGGTGCCCAGGGCCTCCCACGGGCCAGCGTTAGCGACGGGCGGAGAGGGAAAGTCTGTCCGCCTCCTTCAGGGGTTACTAGTTCTTCCTCGGCTCAGGGCTGTTTTTCCTAATCCCCTGCCCTCCCCAGCCTGACACGGGTTAGACCCCGAGTCCCCGTCAGTGGCTCTGTGCTGGGGAGAGTGAGGCCCTCGCTGTGGGCAGTGGGCGAATGTGAAGGAAGGGAACCCAGGCCGGGGCTGGGCTGGCCGGTGAGGTCGGAACCCCAACCAGCCATCTGGCTCTGGGTCCTAGGCCCTCCTAAGGCCAAGAGGGAAAAGGTGCGGAAGGAGTGGCTCCTGGGAGCAGGTTACACCTGAGAACATGTGACTCTGGGTCCTATAGCACCCGTTGTTCTTTTAATAAAGTGTTTTTTGCTGCAAAAAGCCAGTCAAGTTGCCAGATAAAATATAGGGTACTCAGTTAAATTTGAATTTCAGATAAGCAGCGAGTAATTTTTTTTTAGTGTAAGTATGTACCATACAATAATTAGAGCATGTTATAATGAAACATTGTTCTTTATTTGAAATTCTGGTTTCTTTGGGTGTCCTATATTTTTATTTGTCAAATATAGTAACCCTAGGAGCTGGACCCCTGATCTGAGCTAGTTGACACTCCTTTAAAGTGGCTGATGAACCCATCTCTCTCTCTCTCTCTCTCTCTCTCTCTCTATATATATATATATATACACACACTAGAAGCCTGGTGCATGAAAATTCATGCACTGGAGGGGAGGGGGGGTCCCTCAGCCCGGCCTGCCCCCTCTCACAGTCCGGGAGCCCTCAGGGGCAACAGGCGACCTGGTGATCAGGGGAAGGCGACGCCCCATCACACCTCTGCTGCTGCCACTGTGGGCAGCGCAAGCCTCGGCCGGCCCTGGTTACCTGACCCTCGGACAGCCCTGGGTGTCTGGGGGGCTGAGGGGACTGGGGGACTCTGGAGGCAGGCGCGCAGAGCGGCCGGGCCCGGCCTTGCCACATGCCTGCTGCCCCAGCGGGACTGAGAGGACTGGGCTCTGCCATCTTTGAGGGCGTGGCAGTCAATCAATTAGCATATTTCCTCCTTATTGGCTGTAGGTGCCGCTGTCTCTGAGGGCGTGACAGTCAATTAGCATATTTCCTCCTTATTGGCTGCAGGCACTGCCATCTTTGAGGGGAGGGCGGTTAATTAGCATATTCCCTCCCTATTGGCTGTGGGTGCTACCATCTTTGAGGGAGGGGCAGTCAATTAGCATAATCCCTCCTTATTGGCTGCAGGCACTGCCATCTTTGAGGGGAGGGCGGTTAATTAGCATATTCCCTCCCTATTGGCTGTGGGTGCTACCATCTTTGAGGGAGGGGCAGTCAATTAGCATAATCCCTCCTTATTGGCTGCAGGCACTGCCATCTTTGAGGGGAGGGCGGTTAATTAGCATATTCCCTCCCTATTGGCTGTGGGTGCTACCATCTTTGAGGGAGGGGCAGTCAATTAGCATAATCCCTCCTTATTGGCTGCAGGCACTGCCATCTTTGAGGGGAGGGCGGTTAATTAGCATATTCCCTCCCTATTGGCTGTGGGTGCTACCATCTTTGAGGGAGGGGCAGTCAATTAGCATAATCCCTCCTTATTGGCTGCAGGCACTGCCATCTTTGAGGGGAGGGCGGTTAATTAGCATATTCCCTCCCTATTGGCTGTGGGTGCTACCATCTTTGAGGGAGGGGCAGTCAATTAGCATATTCACTCTTTATTAGCTAGGATATTAAAAGCATAATATGCTAATTAGACCGGACAGCCGAAGGACCTTCTGGACGTCATTTCGGACATCCTTTCAGATGAAGTCGCCATGGTGGGGGCCGAGGCAGAGGTGGTTGGGCAATGAGGCAGGCAGGCGAGCAGTTAGGGGTGATCAGGCAGGCAGGCAAGTGGTTAGGGGTGATCAAGCAGGCAGGTAGAGTGGTTAGGGGCGATCAGGCAGGTAGGCAGGTGAGTGGTTAGGACCCAGCAGTCCTGAATTGTGAGAGGGATGTCTGACTGCCGGTTTAGGCCTGATCCCTGTGGGATCAGCAGTTGGACATCCCCCAAGGGGTCCTGGATTGTGAGAGGGTGCAGGCCAGGCTGAGGGACCCCCCCC